TTCGTAAAATCTATATATATATATGTTTAATTTATTTATTTGTCTCACTTGCTTCATGTTTTTTCTTTTGTAACTGCTGTGTTTAATCTTGAGTGTTGTTATAAATAATAAATTCATACGAAAATGATTATTAAAGTAGATGTTCTCAGTTGTAGCAAACTAATTATATTTTTATAAGACGTTTTACAGCGATAAGTGTCTTTTGTATCGCTTTTTCATATAAAAAATGTAGAAGGAGGTACAATGTTATTAAATGATCAATTGATTGATATTGTAGAATTAATGTGAATAATGATTTATTTTATGAATTCAAATCTATTGTATATCCTACCTTTACATACCCACATCCTCAAGATGGTACCATTTTCTTGTAAAGTATACTTGTTTAGAAGAGAAAATACAGTGAAGTATAAAAAAAGTAATGCGAAAGTATTATAAAATTTTAAGTTTAATATAAAATACTTCTTAAAAGTAAAAGATGCTAGAAAATACATCTCAGGATCTCTAAAGTACTACTAGGTACTTTCAGAAGTTACAAAGTACTTAAAGATAATTTGGAAAGTGTCACAATTACTAATATCTCAAAAATTCAAAGTAGTTTAGAGTAAATACGAAATTGATAGAAGTATATAAACTAAACTTGAATACTTAAAAAAATGTTGATGATATAGCAATCGCCTATGCTCCATCTTTTTATCTGAAATTAAATTTTCAAACTGGTGAAATAAATGAACGCATCAATAGGGATATGTTAAAGTTATTAAGATACTCGAACGAATGACATCAACCACTTAATTCAAACAAAATCGAATTTGTTGTTTATCATAAATCAGGTCAATACCCCAAACTCGAGATTTACTATGATGGAGTGAAAATTATACAAAAGAAAAGTTTTAAATATCTTGACTTCCATCTAGATGCAAAACTCTCCTTTCGGAATATGATTGATGCTCAATTTTTAAAACTACGAAAAGCGTATATTATATTAAAGTGTATTTATCGGCAGTTTCCATCATTTTGGAAATTAAAAATGAAATTCTTTAATACGTATATATGACCTCACATGTACATGATGACAACGATTTACTGTCTTTTTTTTCTAATACATCATGTGAACGTGTAGCAGCTTTTTATCGGCGATGCTTAAAATTGATTCACTATCTGTTTCAATGTCTTACAGTGGACTTACATCATTATTTTCAACTGTCTACAATTGAAAAGAGATACAAATTCTTATTTAACACAATCTATTATCGTTATCGAATTGGAGAAAATATTAAGTATATGCCATCAGGTCGACCAACCAAAAGGCTAACATCTTTTCTTGATAATGATGGACATACCTATTTTGATCGCATATGTGATTTTATCTTTAGTTAAGTCACCACATACCTCTATGTGGATGTTCCTTTCAAACAACATAATAGTATTTCTAGAGGTGTTAATGCACTCAAATGCTTCCTTCTTTCTTCTGTCACCGATTTCTTCTTAAAGTTCAGTTTGTGATAAGACGGTCAGTGCGTAATGGCGAATTCGTCATAAGAAATAAATAAAGTGTTTATCAAAAAAAAAAGTTACATTTTAGTCAATATAATTTGACAAAATAAACTCTTTTATCTACTAACAATTCCTCTGCGAATCAACAAATGACTCTTACTATCTTCACTATCTCGAGGGTACGGATATTTTCTTCACTCTGATACTCAGATCCTCATATATACAATCATTCAAAAAATATCATTACTATGAAATAAGGAATTTTCTTATGATTTATGAAAATGTCATATCTCTAATATTTTACATAGCGACCGACAGCACGAGATAATTTGCTCTGTCTAGACAAAGGCAAGTACAAAAAAGTTTTTTCAAAGCAAAATAAAGCTTAAAAACATTTATAACCTATAGATTTTTAGTTCTGTTTCAAGATGAAAGTATTATATAAAACCATTATAAGCAACTTCGGAAAATTATTTAAAATAAAATATGTAAAACTAATATTCAGAAGGACGTGACTGCGAATTAGTCTATTTTTAGACCACATCCACTCTAAAAAAATTCACATTTATTAATCTTATTATTCAATTTCTTGCTCTAATCAAGTTTGCATCATTTCATTTATCACTTTTCGATTCTTTTTTCATTCACTTATTGCGCTTATTTATTCATTTGTTAGTTTGATACATTAAAATTTTAAAACATTAAAAAATATTTATTTATTAGTATACTTTATCTCGTACACACATATCTATGTCTACTTTTGTTTTATTGCAGATTAAGCAAAATATTACTCGAATGGATGATGCATAAATACTATTTTCACTAACACACCCGTTAGAAGAAAGACTATATATTTTTATTCTTGAAAAAAAAATTCGAAAAGAACAATTATACATATATATATGAATTGATTAACGTCATCAAGTTTGTTACATTATTTTTATGATAAAATATCAAAAAGTAATAGATAAATTATTTATTCCAATATCCGGAGGAGTACCTCCGGTTGTTGTAAATTGAATTGTATCGAGTCCAAGCCAATTAAGGGTGACTGTAGTTGATCCAGTATTAGTCAGAGGAACTGTAGTTGAGTTTACTTGTGAATTTAAATAATAACCAGTAATACCTAGAGTCAATGCAGGTGTCCATGGAGCAACCGCTATAAATGAGTTGATTCCTATCGTGCCACCACCACTTGGTTGTATTGTCGCAGTCTGTTTGAACCATGCAACATATTGACCAGTCCCTTGAATATAGTGATAAGCACTTGTTGTATATGCAGATGCATTTATATAGTAGAAGTTTGACCAATTAAGTCCATAGTATGGTGATGTAATATTGCCTTGATCAGGACTTGCTGATGGAATATCTCCAAATGTAAGAACAGCGATACCTATTCAGCAGACATGAAAATATTTAAAAATTTATTTGAAGAAAAAATAAATAAATTTTTCGTCAAAGTAAGGTGTGGGTGTGTGATGAATATAAGAATCACATTCACACCAACCAAAGCGTCGAGATTTCCCCGCTCTAAGTTTGGTCCATTTCAGAAACGGAAGATGAAATGAAAAAAAAGCGATAATTTCAATTTTTAAAAGGAATTAAAAATCTTTTCTAAGAACTCATAGCCTGTAAAAAAAAGTTCTATTTTTAGATTTGATAATTCATACTATTTTGTCTTCAAAGTATCACAAAATCACTCAACTAGCTAACGTAATTACAATTCTAGTATCAAACATGTTGGACGCTACGTAGATCTCTCTTGATTTTAAAAAAATGGATTCATGATACAAAGAAGTATTTTTTTGTTGCTTACTTGTTGTTGTAGTGGTAGTCGTAGTTGTTGTTGATGTTGTAGTTGTTGTTGTAGGGATCGGTTCTATTATTAAATAAAAGTATGAAAAAAATAGATCAGTTAGAATCACCATTGAACTCTTTTAAATCTTTTTATTCCTTGGGTTTACTACCGATGTGAGGATTATAGACTTGTCGAAGAAGTCATTTTTCTTTCAAAAATAATACAATCGAGATTGTAGTTTGAGGAAACTTTTCTGTTGTCTTAAGTTCTTAGTGTATTTTTGAAAAACCAATTAACAAGATATACAAAGTGTAAACTGACTGATTGTAAGCTAGCTTCTAAGTCAAATGAGAATGTCCTCATGCTCATGGATAAGTGATAAAATGAATAGTTTGCTTACCGACGATAATACCACTAGAATTATCGCCACTGTCATTCCTGCCATTGGGATAAGATTGAATGTGACAAAGTTCCAGAGTCAAGGTACTTCCATCGTCCGCCGTCATATTCATAGAGGTCACATTATTGAAGCTATTATGCATACCGTTTAAGAATTGTATTTGACAGGGTACGTTTTGGCATGTTAGACTTTTTGGATAATTCAGTCCGATACCAAAAACTATAGCAGTACCTGACCGATCCGTTTTATCGCATTGAACGCTATATATAAAGTTATAGGTAAATGTGATTTGCATAAAATCATTTAAAACAAAATTACTCGCGGCGGCGACGACGTCGACCTCTGCCGATTGCTTGTGCACTGCTGATGCTACTGACGTCGATGCAATTTAAGGGTGCACCCAGTGCTTGTTGCAGCTAAAATAGTTTAAACATTAACAGTTAACATAAAAGACAAAAATTACGCAAGAGGCAGTTATTATTCGGTTGGTGACGGATTGTGTGGTTCGCTTTCTCTCATATCCAGCTGGCAACAGGTAAACGGCATCTAATGCAGTAAGTGATTCTCCTAGTAAAGACAACGTATGTTTATGATAAAAATAATTAATAAATACTAACTAGTAGCCTCTAATGTTTTGATGTTGATGATATTAGAACCCTTGGTTGGTACGTACAGCGGAATGAGCGAAAGAATAATGACACACGCAATAACAAATCATGCCAATGCGAAAAGACCAAATATAGCGCACCTATATAATTAGCAAAAGATAGTAAAATGCATCGAAGACACTGAAAACTCACATTCGACCACATGTCAAGTTTGAATAAG